TATCACAGATCAACTGGACCAACTTAAAACAGTATATCTCGACTTTTTTAACAATGATTTCTTTAATACAAAAAAAAATTCTACATTAAATGTACAAACAATCTTGACAGAGTTAAAGCTACAATCTTAATAGTTAAAGAATTAGAAAATGGCCATTTATAAAAATTTTTTGAAATTCACATTATGGAACGTAACCAGCGTAGAAAGCAAACAATAAAAAGCAAACTCCACAAATTTCTCATAAATCATAACACGGACATTGCCATCATCATTGAAATTTGGTTAACGCCTGCAGACATTTTCAAACTCGCAAATTATAACATTTGTAGAAAAGATGGATTCCTTACCATCAAGCAAACAAATCAAGAGGATGAGTATGATGATACGAGTACTTCTAGCCGTCAACCTACTTCTTCTAACATAGAATACACAGCAATAAAACTGAAAATCACCAACACTCATCATCGGTGCCGCATATGTGTCTCCGAAGACCAAAATAAACCAAACCGATAGATAATATTATTTCCCTTCATGAAACAGGATATTATTTCTTATTGGTGCCAACATAACTTCAATGCCAAACACTGCATTTGGAATAATTTAAATAGAAACGCAAACGGATCGGCAGATTATACACAGTTCAACTTATATACACAGACAACATAACTGAACTAATATTATATTCCTCTCGAACTTACCCTACTTCTACAATTGCCAAACTATTGACGACTTACCCTCAAACCATTTTTCGATAGAACTATCGTTTCAAATGTACAAGAAGACCAACAACGACAGAACACCGACTGGATCGCAGTCTAACTTCCTATCCTGTACTCCTAGAATAATCAAAAATATAATAAAGAAACTTCCTAACAATAAAGCTCCCGAATTCGACAAGGTAACCGCGACGAAATTAAAAAACCTACCAAACAAACCTATAGTACAATTATACTACATTTACAAAGCCTATTTAAACTCGCTTATTTCTCAACTGCTTACAAAGATCATTCTGATACCGCGACCAGAGAAACCCGTAACATGCACTTTCAACTATAGATCAATTATTCTCATTTTCAAGATACTTGAAAAAATTATTTACCAATATCTCTTCAGTCACATAGACAAATCTGAAGTAATAATTCCACAACAATTCGGCTTCTTAAAAAACTGTTCATGTACATCAGTTACAGTGCGTCACAAACATATATTATCATAATAGAACGAAACAAGAAAAGAATTATACAACTCATATTACTGGTCCTCTAAAAAGTATTTGTTTCCATCTTATTATCTAAATTATATGCAATAAATATTCCTGCTCATTACTATTATAACCAGCTATCTTCACAGCAGGAATTT